CTCGGAGTTGGGTGCGAGGCTGGGGGCGCGGAACGCGAGCTCCTGGGCCTGGGGCGTGGCGGGCGGGAGAACGCCGCCCGAAGACGCGCTCCGCACGTGGTGGGTCGGATCCCTGGCAGCGGGAAACACGGTGCAAGGGACTCGCGCGTGTGTCAGAGACGCTATTCAAGGTACAAGAGCAACTGTCCCACGGCCCAGGGGAGATGCGAAGGTTGAGAGGAGAGCGCCCTGGTTTAACTAGGAGAGCTGGGATGAGCTATACCTCTACAAGGACCCCACAAAAAGAGGAAACTAGCTTACCTTGCAAAGAAGGAATTTAACCCCTCCCCCCCACAGGTATGTAGGGACAAAATTAGATAGGTCAAGGCTCAAAATGAATTCAGATTAACTAGAGCATGGGTTCCCAAACTGGGTGTGTGCGCCCCCCTAGGGGGAGGCTTAAGAAATTCTGGGGGGGGGTGCGCAAGGTGACCCAGCCCACCTGTCAATGCCCCCATTGCCCCCCAAATTTCAATTTTTTTTTGCTCAACAAGATTTGCTGCTATTTTTGGGGGGAGTGAGGGTTTCTCAAAAATCAAAAAGGGGGTGTGATGCTAAAAATTTTGGGAACCACTGAATTAGAGGAAGTCTATGCAGCAATGAGAAGAGAGCAGCAATGACAGTGGCCAAAGCACTGGTTAGCACACTGTACACAGTGCTGAAGGGCTGGCCAATGGGAGGCCGTGCCCCTTCTTGGAGCTGGCCCCCCCACACCTTGCCTAGGGACCCAACAATTCTGTAGCCCTCTTCTCATCCCCAGCTAGAGACATAAAGAATAACAAGAAAACATTCATTCTACAAATATGTTAGAAGCAAGAGGAAGACCAAAGACAGGGTAGTGAATCAATGAAAGGGGAAAATAGTAACCATAAATGTGCAAATGGCAGAGGTGCTTAATGACATCTTTGTTTCACTTTTCACCAATAAAGTTGGTGGCTGTTGGATACCTAACGTAATGAATGCTGGTGAAAATGAGAAGGTTCAGAAGTTAAAATAGATTCAGATTAATAATTGTTTAGTCAAGTTAAATGTCTTCAGGTCACCAGGGCCTGCTGAAATGTACCCTAAAATTCTCAGTGAGCTGACTGAGAAGTTATCTGGGTCTATTAGTTTGCTTTATAACTGACTGCACTGCATTCTCAGGCTGGGCTCTGACAGTCAAACTGGTCTTATTCTGGTTCACACAGCTTCAAAGAGGCAAAATGTCATCCTTGGGTGTTTTAACAGGAGTGTTGTATGTACAATGCAGGAGGAAATTGTTCCAGCGTACATGGCATCGTTGAAGAGTATTGTGTCCAGTTTTGGACACTGGTCTTTAAGAATGCTGTGAGAGTCCAGGGGAGAGCTTACCTACATGATTAGAGGTTTAGAAAAATTGACCTATGAGGAAAGGTTGACAGAATTGAGCATATTTAGTCTACAAAAGAGAAGGCTGAGGAAGGACATAACAATCTTCAACTATGTAAAAGATTGTTTGCAGAAACCATGATCAGATGTTTTCCATATCCACTGAGGGTAGGACAAGAAGTAATCAGCTTAGTTTGCAACAAAGGAGATTAAGGTTCGGTATTAGGAGAAACTTTCTAGCTATAAGTGGAAATAAGGACTGGAACAGGTCATGTAGGGTGGTTGTAGATTCCTCGTCACTGGAGGTTTTCAAGAATGAGTTAGATAAACAGCTGTCAGGGATGGGTCTAGGATTACGTTATCCTGCCTCAGTTCAGAGGGCTGCACTAGATGGCTTCTTGAGATCCTTTCCAGCCCTAAATTTCTGTGATGATAAGTCACTTAATAATTCTGATAATGATGAGTGATATAGAACAGAATCCAGTTTGCTCACTCAGGGCGGTCAGGCTAATATAAATAAAATGCAGTCACTAGAATGAGCAGGTTCTGAATACCCCCAAGGGATATTGGTGGAGAAAGATACTGGTCGCTAGAGTAGTACTTTGCTGTAACAGTGGGTTTGTAAGGAGGGCATCTGACCCCTGCTTCCTTTCAGAAATAGAGTGAACCACTGGTGTCAAATGTTATGAACATTTTGGTACCCCCAGCTGCGGAGTTTGGCAAGTAACAGCTCTCAGTGAATTCATCCCAAGATCAATTTGTTTTCAGATGAAAATCAATTTAATTTTGACAGACAAATTGTTTAATTGCTGCATTTCAGCTTGGCATGGCACATCTGGTAAAAGGATTATGCCCTGAAAGCCTGTGTGTGACCTACTTTTATTTAAATCACTTGAGCATGGTGTTAAGAATTTTTCAGTTTGGCATTAGGCTGAAACTATTGACAGTTTGATCTGTGAAAAGTATAATGTAAAATCTTATCACAAAGCAGCATCCTTCTTCAAAGTTTAAATATTGCTTCACTCCTTGTGCTAGATCTGTGGTCCCAGATGTGTGTACTGGGTTAAAAACAACACTGCAATTTTTGTGGACAGTAATACAAGTTGCACCTCCCCAAAACAGCACTCTCTGGTCTGGCAACATCCGTGGTCCAGCAGTACCACGGATGTTCCTGGACCAGGGAGCCTGGATCCAGAAGGGCCAGCGGTAGGGGGCAGGGACTCCAGCCCTTGGCAGCCTGCGGCACTGAGGAGCCAAGACTGGAGCTGCCAGCAGCCCACAGCAGCATGAGGCCAAGGCCTCCAGCAGCCCAACCAGAGCTAAAGCCTGTGACCTGGCAGCCCCAGGACAGAGGACCACTGGCAGCAGAGACAGCAGCGAGGTTGGTTGGAAGTCAGAGGCAGCCTGGCCTGGGCAAGGGGCTGACGGCATCCCAGCTGGGACTGGTGGTGGTAAGGGCCGGAGTCGGGGCCAGCTAGGGTGGAAGTGGAGCTGGGGGCACTGAGGGGTAGTGAGCTAGGGAGCTGTTGGCAAGGGGGCTTCCACTGCTATGGCAAACTCCCTCGTTCAGGACCTGTCAGGTCAGGAGAGTGCCAGACCAGGGAGGGCCATCCTGTATTTATAGTGTAATAGGCATTCAACCTCACTCTTACTTTCAACAGGGGCAAGGGTTTTCTTTTTCATCTAGAGAGTTTTCCTGTGCCTTGCTGCCCAGCAGGTAGTCCACTTCTGTCCTCCTCTGCTGGCAGTATAATCATCATATGTTTTCATCGTATGTTTTAATCATTGGAGACCTGAAAGAGATTTATGAACTGATTAAAACAGAAATGTAATCACCATTGGTTCAAACTAACGCGTCCCGGCGTGCACTTTCACTTTCGAAACATCTGTTCAGCGGAGTAATGCACCAGGGAGATCATGCTAATGAAGCACGGGTTATTTAAATCCCCGCTTCATTAGCAATTTCGGTTGCCTACATTTGCATCCCTAGTTCGAACTAGGGTACAAGTGTAGACGTACCTTTAGAGACTAGCCAATTTATTCGGGCATAAGCTTTCGTGGGTTTGGTAAAACTTTTTTTTTTTTTTTTTTTTTTTTTTTTATGCCCAAATAAATCTGTTAGGCTCAAAGGTGCCACAGGACGCCTCATGGTTTTAACTAAATTGATGTTAGCCAACTGGTACAGTTGATTCTTTAGCAGAGATGCTATTTTTGCTTTGTGCTTTGACATTTGGCAGTTGTCCTTTTGGGAAGTTTTGTGGGGGAATTCCCTGAAGACACCTTGCCATATTAACACTGTTCTTTTGTATCATTTCAGGCTTCCCCCTTCCCGATGGCTACAGAACTTCAAAAACCCCGCCCAAGGAAAGGTTTGTTTAAGGATGTGCTTACAATAGTATTATAGGCAGTCCCCAGCTTACGAACAGGTTGTGTTCCAAAAGTTCATTTGTAAGTCAGTTGTTTGGAACTCGGACCATAGAAATAATGTTATACATGGTAGTTAAATTTCCAGGCTAGCCCACAAATGCCTATTTAATGGGGCTGTCAATTGACCTGTGTTAACGCCTCCGATTAACACAGGACAGGATTAATGTGTTAAAAAAATTGATGCGTTAATCGCAGACATTAATGCTGCACTCCCTCTTTGAAGTGCCGCTCCAGCACTTCAAAGGGGCAGCGCAGGCAGAGCCGGGGATCAGATGGGATACAGTAGGGGGCTTCAGGCTGTGGCCTGGGAATCTGGGGAGTGGGAAGGGCTCAAGGCAGGAGGTGCGGAAGGAACTGCGGAGTCTGAGTGGGAGTTAGGGTGGGAGGGGCTTGTGACCTGAGGCAGGGAGTTGGGGTGTGGGAAGGGCTGAGGTGCTAGGTGCAGGCTTTGACCAGAAGGCAGTTTCTCTTGGTGGCTCTCAGCCAGCAGCCCACTAGGACCCTTGGACAGGCTCCCTGCCTGCCACAGCCCCACTCGCTGCTCAAAGAATCCAGCTGCTGCCGCCAGATGAATCTCTGCGCTGTGCGTCCTATGGGGAAGAGGTCTACTAATACCTTCTGAAAGTAGTATTGTGTGCTGGGAACTCAGGGAGCCTGGGTTCCATTCTCATCTCTGTAACTGGCTTGCTGTGGGACCTTTGGTGCAGCCTTTCTGTGCCTCAGTTTCCCCTATCTATAAAATGAGGTCTCCCTTTTGAAATCAATTTATGAAAAGTTCAACATAAGACCTAATTATTAGTATTTATTAATTATGCTGAATTGAGATCCGAAGATTGGCTTTGTGCTAGGTAGAAATCTGCTATTAAACTTCCTTTCCTGACTGTGAATCACATTTGTGGAACAATTTAAAAATTGGTTATAAATTAGCTACTTTTACATACGGTGTGCATGGGACTTGGTCCTAGATAATGCTGCACAGAATACTGTTACCACGGGGCATTAGATCCAGAGACTTCTCCTTGCTGGTGTTGTAATGGGTTTCTCATTTTGATGCAAAATGGAAAGTTTGCCCCGTCTTTGCAAATGTGTGTTACAAGACAGGAGCAGTAAGAAACTTGGAGCCATCATCTTCCAACCTGCTTTTAGATCCCTTTTAATGAAAGATTTACCAAAAGCATTGTGTTTTGAATTATCTACCTGTCAGAGCTAACCTGTCCCATGGGTCTTTGATAGCAGAAGACTTGAAGGTTGAGATTAAACCGTATCTCTTTTACACACAGTTCAATCTAAAGTGGAAGTGATTAGCATTCTGTGAGGCCTGACCGAAATTAGCCCCCCAAGATCAAATTTGTAAACCATGCATCATACTATTACACCCGTTATTCTGGAACAAGGGGCCGCGGAATTCAAGCTCTAGTCCTGCTTTTCATGAGGAATAACTCTATTTCCAAACTTGTAAGTCCGAAATAATGTTGGTGTGGATGCTCCAGTGCTGCTAATTCGAACTTATTGGCCTTTGGGAAGCCTCCCGCAGCTCTGAGTCCGAGGGAAGGCATCCATGTTACCAGAGCCTGCCTCAGACCACATTCAGTTCTTCCTCGTCGTGAATATGTGGAACGTCAAATTTGTAAGATTGGGTGGCCAGAAGTCAAACTTGGTAAATTTGGACTAATCTCCTAGTATAGACATGGCCTGAGAGTATAAATGGTCTGGAGCAGGTTGTGGGGTTGGGGTGTTCTGCAGGAATCAGGTTAGAAATCCATAACTCTTGCCACCAGTCTCTTTAGAATTAGAATTCATCTGCAAATTTGACGACACCAGTTCAGGATTAAACAAAGACTGTGAATGGCTAGCCAAGTACAAGAGCAGTTTCTCCTCTCTTGGTGTTCACACCTCCACATCAGCTGCTAGAAGTGGGCCTCACCCTCCCTGCCTGAATTAACCTTGTTATCTCTAGCCTGCATATTTATACCTCCCTCTGGAAATTTCCACCACATGCATCTGACAAAGTGGGTCTTTGCCCACGAAAGCTTATGCTCCAATACGTCTGTTAGTCTGTAAGGTGCCACAGGACTCCTTGTCACTTTTGCAGTCTCTTTAGAGTTAGTGAGCACTTCAGAGCAGTGCTCTGACACAACCGTTATTCGGGAACTGACATGGTAGTAGTTAAAACCATTCATTATTTTGTCCTTTATCCCCTGTGGGGTGAGTTGCTCTGAAAATCAATTCCTTTGTTGCCACATCAAGATACATTACTCTCTGTATTATTTATTTTCTCAAGTAAATGGTGGTAGAATAAAGGGAGCCCTGCGCCTTGAATCCGGATGGAGTTAATATCAGCCTGCTGAGATGGGATTTTAATCTCCCTGCTGCATTTTAAATTAATCAGATATTTTCTAAAATGCTTTCCTGGTTTTGAATTGAAATAGACAGGCTCCCATCTTTCAAATTTCCTTTCCTCAAGCATTCCAATCAAATCATTTGACGGTAACTGATAATACTATATTGGAGAAGCCACTTTTCCCAGTGTGTATTGTTGATCTTATGGAACATAACTCCAGTTTATTTCCTTTTGTCATGGAAAAGGTTATTTAGAAAAGAAAGTTTGGGCTCTGCTGTTAGTCTAGTCATGGCTGATAGGTTTCTGGAGTAACTTTAAATACATTTTGAGACCTACAACAACGCTTGACGCACCCTCTGGCTCATATATCAATGGCAGTTTAGAGTAGGATAGAAAAGCTTTAAATGGGAGCCTGAATGTTTCCAAATGCAGTAGATACAGTATATGCCCAGTAATGTTACAATGAATATGGAGCACACATTTGATTATGAAGAAGCAGCTTGTTGGGTAGATTCACTCCTTGAGCTGTGCTTACTCAAAATGGACTCGTGGAGATCATTTTCTAAGTGACTAACTTCTCTTGTGGATTGTGAGGGTAGCAGTGGATATAAAAGCTGAAGTGTTCCCTCAATTCCTAGCCCTTCTGATAGTTTGTGGAAGTGTGTGTTAGTGGTTAGAGCAGAGGATTTGTTTTTGTTGTCTGATTTCCTGTCACCTTGAGCAAATTACTTCACCTCTCATTTCCCCATCTACTGAATGGGTCTGAGATTGAATTTCCAGGGCTCGACAAATCCGCTTATCTACTCGCCATGGACGAGTAGATTTCAGCCGGTCGCCCCTTTCACTGGCGGTTCGCGCACGCACAGTGTTGGTCTTGCACATGCGCAGAGTGGTGCTGGCGAGTGGTTGAGCCCTGTGAATTACCACACACAATTGAGGTAGGGGTTTCACTGATGTTAGCAAAGCACGTTGACACTGTAGATTAAGGTTAATATATGACAACTAAGTCCTCTGCAATTGATGCTAAAAGAGGAACATAGTAGTGCAGGGTGGAGGCAGCTTGTACAGACATTATAGCGTAGGAGAGTTTCACTCTGATCTGATGCAGTCACATCTAGTAAGGTGGACATTTATACCACGATCATCACAGCTATTCTTTTTTCACGAGGATGGCAATCCAATAAAAAAAAAAGCACCCAAAAATGTAGAGAGAGAAATAACTATATTAAGTCTTTAGATTCAGGGAAACTGATAATTCCTAGATTATTTAGCATCCTTAACTAACATTAAGGGGTTTGCAAATGTCACATGTAGGGACCTGATATTCATTAAGTCTCCGCTTCAGGAAAACACTAACCATAGGCTAACCTCTGCTAAATGGCTTTGCTGTAAATTGGAGCCTAATTTTATTTATATGCTTTGGGTATTGGTTTGTCACAACAATGTTTCTTTAGAATAAATTATGTATCTGGATATCTTAAGTCCTGTGAATTATCATTAGATAAATTTTGCTTCTGTTATATACAGCTAGTCAGAACACCTGATAGAGCCATCAGTGCTGTATCTGAAATTCATTCTGTCTCAATGATTTCCCCATTACTGAGACAAAGCAAGTTACTTCATTGTGTTTAAAAGAATCAATGAAACAGGTTTATCAGAGGTCAACACACCAGGATTCAATGTTCTAACAATGTAATAATACAGGATAGTAGGAGCTAACTATTGCAGATAAAATTTAACGGGAATATAGGCAGCATGTAATGTAAAAAAGTCTTAAAGCTGTAATTTTAATCTACTTGTATGCTAATTGGTACTGTAACATTCCCTATGAATGGCTTAAAACTTTTACTTTTACAGCATGCAGAGATTTGATTCACACGTGATGACCTCTATAAAGTTTCCACAGCTAGTGTTAACATCTTAGAATATAATTTGTTTTTTAGACTTGGGTGTTGAAATAGTCTCAAGCAATTTGTTGTTTTTGTGCAGCTAAATTGTCTGTCAGCATTTAACACACAGCTATCTTGATAGTTCACTGTATTTTGGACTTGCAGAGAACTGGTCTTTGAAGGAGAAGAAATAGTTTGATTAAATATAATTATATATATATATATAATATGAAATCATACCTGCCAATTTGACAAAACACAGAAGCCCCACATTCTCTCGTATTGCCCCTGTGCAATAGCCAGGGATGTACACTTGCAGATAAATAATGGAACTCAAAATACACACTTACTTTCACAACTTTTAGTTAATGAAATAGCTTAGCTTGTGCAGAAATTGACATGTGTCTGAAGTTTATGATCTGTACTTGGGATACACCTGACTTTCTCTCCAGGTACTCCCCATGCTGGCAGATCAACAGATGGGAATCTCTTCTGCTTTTGGAAATGTGCTAAAGGATCAAACATGGTGAATATCACTAACAGTGTAGTACCTGGATAACTTGATTTTGTGCATTGCAGAGCTTATCATTTCTGAACTCCTAATACTTTCAAATTAATATAAATCCATTAATTGAGTCAAATTCAAAGCTGCCTTTGAAGTTCTGAAAGTGACACTCTGCTTGAAAACTCTAGATAAAAACCACCACTCTGA